AAAATGTCTACAAAAATTGCAAGTACATCACCAAATTTGTATATCACCTGCAATATTGCACGAGCCTGTGACAAAATCCACGTCCTTCATTCGAGAAAATGCTTAAAAAACATTGTTCAAGCTCAACCTCAACAATTTTTTAAGCTTTCTAGGTAAGTACTTGTGTTTTCTTTCGTTTTCTTTATTTCTTTCAATTTGTCTTTTCAATCATTAACTTAATTAATATTACATGTTCTTCTACTAGAGATGATCAAAATACAAGGCGGCCGAGACAATTTTCGAGCAAATTCCGAACCATGGCTTCTTCTCCATCATCACCATCACCTTCTTCTTCTTCTTCTAACCGATCACCCTCTCTATTGTAATTTTTAAATAAACCTTTTTGGCCAAAATAAAATTAAAGTATGAGTTTGTCTATATATATATATATATATATATATGAAACTAATATGTTTTAGATATGACTAAAAATGTAGGAAAAAATGGTTATTGGGAGTATTACTAAGTGTGATCCTACCAGCAGCGGGTCATAAAGGGGGGTTTTTGTTAGGCCTTAAAGGTTAGCTATATATATTACCAAGCTTTTTAATTCTCTTATATTTAATTATTTATATATAATATAATGTATAAAATGAATTAATTAAATGGTGTTGTAGTGAAAATCGACCAAGCGATGGAGACGGTGGAGAATGTGACGGAGATTGTGGAGGAGATAGCTGAGGAGGCGGAGAAGATAGCTGAGGAAGTCGAGGAGAAGCTTCCGGAAGACTCTAAGTTGAAGGAGACACTCGATTCATTCGAGGAACTCACCAAAATGGCTGCTAAAGAAGCCAGAAGAGCTCAAGACATTGTTCACCAGGTCTTTATTCATCATATATTTTCAACTCTATTCACTAATATATTAATTAATACCTTTTATTGCATTGTTAATTTTCCTTACCTTCCTGCCTATGGAATTTTTACCATCTAATTAGCCAAGTGGTTTTTATATTTATTGTATTTTTATTTTTTTGAATGGAATATTTACAATAAACCTCCCAATGAAATATGGAGACATTTTCAGGCTGGATATATGTTTTTTCATGACTTTTTCGAAAATATAAGCATCTTATTGTTACAGTTACTCTTGAATCTTGATGCAAGGGTTTGAGAAAGCAAAATTAAAATTTGTATGTAGAAAAGTGCCAAAATAGCCATATTGTTCTATTTTTATATATTTTTAATCATTTTGTTAAATATTATATAGTTATTTTGCAGCATGTGAGCGAAAATAAAGTCGGGGACGATGTCAACAAAAATGGCTGTTTGTCGCAAGATGATATATCCCGTCCGGAAAATAATTAAAATATAGTTGATCAATTAAAAAATTGGCTAATATATAGATATAGAATTATATATATATTTTATTAAATGAAAAAAAAAAATTTGCTAGCTAGATTAAAATCAGTTTTACATAGTTTTGCCTTATCTTCAAGTAGGGCACATTATTATTTTATACAAGCGGGTCATTATGCCTTTGAAATTATTGTGAAACTGCAAGAAACACATGGCAAGTGTTGTTTTCAAATCACCATCAAAATCTATTAAATGATTTAGAGAATCGGGACAAGAGAGTGCGGTCCCACGCAGATGAAACGCACCATAAGAGGGTGAACATAGGTGTACCATAGTGAGGTTTCATTATCTAATTGGTGATTTGAGGAGTATCCCACTAGTCATATAAGTTAGGTCCAATTTCCTTATAGAATCGATGTGGGACAACTAACAAGTGATACTCCAACATGTTAAAATAGGCTTTAGTTATTTTGTTAATATATCTTTGGTTTGATATGATTTTGATTCGACAGTACTTATTTTGATAATTAGATATATGATTTGATCTTGATTTATTTTAGATCTCTTGCAATATCTGTATATTAGATGTAATCTCACTATTACAAAGATGGAAAATACGCATCTTTCTCTTCTACACTCTATGTATTTTCTCTTTAGTTTTAGCATGATTTGCCCTGATCATTAATTGCGTATTGATATTCAATTTTTATCTTTGCAATGCATATTGAATACAACTCATATAATTACATGCAAATGCGCATCTCATCAAGAATATATACGAGTCAAACTATATTCTGCAGAATNAAAAAAAAAAAAAAAAAGACTAACAAATGCCTTTTCATGTGATCACACACAGGTAAAAGAGGTGGAGGAAGAGATAGAGGAAGCCCTCATAAAAGCTCATAAAGATCAACCCCCAAAATAGTCGGCAAAAACACTCATAAACACCATTATAAATCTACGGTTCGAAAAACAATCACTCAAATACCATTTTGGACTTCTGCTTGATAAATTAGCACTTAAATTATCGAAGTGAACATTCTTTTTTATATACTATTTTCATATATTCAGTAAGGGCTCGTTTGTTTTTTTAGATGGGATTAGACTAAATTAATACGTAGTGGGTGGATTGTACTGTGTGGATTAAATTAAACTTGTGTTTGTTATTTATGATTGTAATTTGGATAAGATAATTTTATAATTCCTATAGCATTTGTTTATTGGGATAATTCAAAGGATAAAACATAAGAAGTCAATTATACCCCTTTAAATATTTTAATATTAAAGAAAAAGTCTTTCTCTCTCTCCGTGAATTCACCCACCGACCCCTCTAAACCTCCATTGCCCTCTTCCTCCCAAACTCTTGTGCGAGAATCCTACCTTTTTTTTCTAATTTTTTTTCTTTTTTCTTTTATTTTCCTTTTAATACTAATCAGTAGCCTCTTTTGTCACTCTCTCTCTCTCAAACTCTATATCGGCGACAGTCTCTTATTCACGCTTGATCATGCTAGATCTGCTCTTCCTTGGCGGCGGCCTCCTCATCGTGGAGGAGCGATTCTGGGAAGAGAGCAGATGGAGATCGTGGCAGTGGCGCGGTCAAATCTACGACGGTACCATTTAAGAGAGAGTACTAAAGAAGCAACACAACTAATTTCCCCCAAATTTTAACAGGAACCAACCATAATTCCCGAAGAAAAAGGAAAAAAATGAAACAATTATTTCAGACTATATGCAGATGTAGCCGACGTCTCGAGTCGGACCTCCAAATTACGCTTTCAGGCTTGCTCGTGCTTCAGCTGCTCTTCCATAGCGGCGGCCTCCTCGTCCCAAAGGAGCAGTAATGGGAAGGTTCTATAACATATAAAATTTTGGGGACTAAATGGACATTTTCTACCTGTTGCACTGTAGGGATGAAAATTATCACACCTTTCACATGAGATCAAATAGTCGTGAATATGCACGATTAGTGGCTTTTTTATTGCGGGCCGAACTTTATCTGCGGGCTTTAGTCTTGCATACCAAACGAAGGATTACCCCATGATTATGGGGATAATCCTATCTAATCATGCAAAACAAACGTGGCGTAAAAATATTAGCGTATACGCACACATTTTTCTAAGGGGAAAAGAGAGAGAGAGAGAGAGAGGCTGTTTTTATTTTTAATTAATAAAAAAGTTCCATTGACTTGAATGCTAGTAAAAGCATATTTCGTGTAATTTTAGGGAACTTTATCGGAAAATGAAAGAATAAAATGGCTAAATAAAAAATAAGGAGGCATGTGATAACACAATTTCTTTTGCCTCTTATGAGTGTGTGCTTCTTAAGATACAAACGCGACAAAAAAGAATAAAATTCGGTTGAGACCAAAACATTATAAAATAAAAGATGAAGGGAAAAAGACTTT